AGGGAATCGCCCTGAAAAATACCTCGTTTAATTTCAACTTCACCCAATTCTTCTCCATTAACCATAGAGCTTCATTTTCCAGAGGTTCATTGAAGTTTCCATTAATTTTTGTATGTTACTACTGATGCCGAAGATTTTCAGGCATTTCTTGATCCAGCTGTGGGGAACTGAATCAAATGCTTTCTTATAGTCTATCCAAGCCATGAACAGCTTGGTTCGTCTTTTCTTTGAATTTTTTAGGATTAGCTTGTCAATCAGCAGTTGTTCCTTTGTTCCTCTTGAATTTTATTATTATAATTATAATTATAATAAAAAGTAGAACCTGAGTAACGTAGCTCAAAGTTATATAAATAAAATATTTTTTAAAATAATGTACCAGAGAGTATTTCTCTATTTTTGATCATGAATAAGTTTCTGAAGGAAAAATGCTAAATATCTCAGCCTTGGTATATTTAAAAATAGTAGCAAATTTTGCATATTAATGCACAGGAGTGTTTTGTTTAGTTCATGTTAATAAATAGTTAAACATATATCTTTAACTGATAACATGTTTATTATTAGTGTCATATAGAAGAGATGAAATGTGGTCTGAGCGGTATGAATATGAAAGATTACCACGAGAAAGACTTCCTCCACGTCCTGATGTAAGCTGATTGCTAATAGTTATGGGTTTCTCTTTTTAATCTTTTTAGCTGTTGATTAAGAATTTAAATTTATGATCTCAAACTTATGTGGATTACAGTACACACATGGACGGACATTCAATTAGGAGGCCTACAATGGTTACAATTAATGCTGTGTTTTATAAAACTTGGTTTCATTCCTAATATGTCCTTCTTAAATACCTAGGATGGGCTTTGTAAAATGCATTTTAATAGACCTTTTATCTTGATTATGTGAGTCTCTTACTTATCCTAGAATGGACAAGCGAGAAGAAACAAATCCTTTATATCCAATCTGTGTCTGCCTTTTTCCCCCCACAAAGCCTTTTTTTCCAGTTCACAGCATTCCCTTCCATATCTGTGGATAAAAATCAGTATAGCATCCCCCTCTCCCGCCACTTCTTACGCATATCAACAGTTCCTCTCCCACCTTTATTATTACAAATAACTTAAGGCAGTGGACATATCCAACACACGCTTCCTCCCATTTTCCCCATAATAAAAACTATCAGGGTTCCAGATAGCATCCTCAATCAAATAAGAATCTGAGGCTAGAGATTCCTCAAAGTTGCAATTTATTAGAGTAGCCATGCTGGCACATGTGGGAAAACCCAAATATGAAAGCTTCCAGGTTTTCCCCACCCAGTTGAAAGTTCAAGACCTTGCCCCAACACCCACAAGTCCCTCAAATGACCCAATCAGTCACTGCCACGAAGGAAGATTCCTCCCATCCACATCAGTCCAGGTGCAGGGACAAAACGATCTTGACTCTCTGAGGAGGAATATTACTATGGCTACATTTCTCCCATGCTCCATACAATCCCCCTTCCCAATTTCCCCCAGTAGAATATCTTTGAATATGTGGCAGACTTGAGGCTCAAAACAAAGATGGCTTCCAAGCCTCACAACCTGTGAGGTGGGTTAAACTAAAAGTGACTGGCCCAAAGTCATCCAGTTGGTTTTAATGGCTAAGGTGGAACTTGAATGCTGCCTTAAACACAAGACCAAACTGATCTCACTGTCCTTACCAAAAATTATTAATTGGGGTCTCTTATCCATGGCTTATTTGTTGGGTTCTAATGTACATGAGCTGATTTCGGCTTTTTTTTTGCTTTGCTTTGCTTTGCTTTTTTTTTTTTTAAATCAAGCTTCCTTTCTCCAAGGCACTGGAGAAAGTGTTTCTTCAGCTGCCTCAAAATACTGCTGCACACTGTAACCTGTTTTACCAGTGTGAACGTTGGCATCCTTAAGCTGGACAAATACAGGTTTCCTAAGGGTCTCGAACGGAATAGAGAAAATAGGGAGGTGCAGGGGTGAGTTTCAAAATGTTTAGCAAATGGTTCTCTGCCCAGTTTCTGGGTGGGTGTGCCCTACTCGGCCTCCTGCACCACAGTGGGGGGAGGGCATTTTCTCCCTCCCCAGGCTACGGAGGCTTTCCTCGAGCCTCCAGGAGGGGGAAAACGGCCTCCCTTGGGCTATGGAGGCCCCCCAGAGGCTGAAAATGGGCTTGTTTCCAGACTTCTGGAACTTCCGAGTGGCCCGTTTTTCACCCTCCCCAGGCACCGGAGGCCTTCCTCGAACCTCAGGGCGGGTGAAGGCCTCCCCTGGGCTCTGGAGGCTCTCCGGAGACCCGAAACATTTCCAGACTTTGTCCCCCCAGAGCCTCCGCATGGGCCCTGAATTTACCTGACCTCCAAAACGGGCCATGTGGGAATTCCTGGGAGGGGAGGGGTGGATGGGGCCAGCAAGACCTTGCAACTACCAGTTTGGCAAACCAGATGTAAAATTAGCATCCAGTTCGCTCGAACCAATCTGAACCGGCTGAATCCCACCCTCGGGAGGTGGTTGTTACAAGCCCAGGCCTTTATTTTTGGTTTGTTTTTTTTAACTGCATAAACTAATCATTCTCTTTTCAAATGCAGATTTCCTTATTTCATTGGATAGCTCAGGGAGCAATCTCAAATTTGCACCACCAATTTTTGTATTCCATAAGAAAGTCTGTTTATTCTGGATGATGCCTAAAGCAACGGTTATTTTGCACAGAAAAATATTTTTTGTTTTTTGTGAAAATCTTGGCATGCAGAGAGTTGGAGAGACTTGCAAGATGCTCCTGGGGGCTTGGGAAGGCAAAAATACCCCCGTGTTTGTAAAAAACAGGCACATTTTCACTTGTTTTTACCCTCCCAGTCCCCAGGAGCATTTTGCAGGCCTCCCAAACCATCTACACATCCATTTTTGCAAAAAACAAGATGCAGGGCGGTGGTGTGGGGTTTTGGGAGGCCAATAATGCTATATTCGGTGTATAAGACGCATCCAGATTTTCACCCTCTTTTGGGAGAGGGAAGGTGTGTCTTATACTCCAAAAAATACAGTAGTTGAAGTATTGGTTCATATTTTTTATGAGCCTAGTATAATCTATTGTTCAGTTAAATACACATTTTCAATCTTGTTATGTTCAGGCTACTTCATCTGCTCTTTAACAAGAGGCATGAACTAAAACAAGATTGTATCTTGATTTCTAATGTATTTACTGGCTTTATTGAAATGTCAATATCCAAATTAATATTTGAGATTATTTGTATTATTTATAATTTTTAATGATTAGTATTGTATATAATTTTAGGATGACTATCATCGAGTAGTCAGTTTTGCATCCAAGAAACCACCACTTACTGAAAGACCTGGTGAAGGAGGCTATAGTAGATATGAATATGGCCATGCTCATGTAGGCTACAGAGACTATGATGAAGGTAGAGGTTTTGCTCCCGAACGAAGAAGTGGACTACCACATAGAATTGTGAGTTTCCCTTTTCTGATGAGCATGTGGCTGGAAGCTAAATGTTCCACAATTGTTAGATACAGCTCTGTGTTACATTAATAGCACTTAAAAATAATTTGGATATTTAAACTTTATACTGTAACTCTATGAACATAATGTACTAAAGCAATTGTGCTTTTGAAATCTTGAAGATGAATGCTTAAAGCTTCCATCTCTCTGGAGAAAACATGAGAAGGAGCATTGGGCTTTAGAAGAAGAAGAGAATTCATTCACAAATATTGTCTGAAGGCAAACAATAACATTGGCTGCATAGCAATCACCAGTCTGTTTTATGGTGGTCGCTCCCTGCTTGATCATCACGGATTTTGATTGGCTATTTCTTGTTCAGCAATATGATAAATCAGCCTCTTATTTTTGCATTTAATATTTGTTCAATGAATGTTTCTTTTTCCCTTTAAAATACATACACTACATTTTAGTGGCATGTTAAATTTCTTCTAACCAATAATTTTTGAAGAAATTATTTTTAAAAATGTTCAATGGTGTTTTACAATATCTTATTGCTATTAGCTTCTTGAAACTAATTTTTTCTTTATGTTGAAATATTCTGTTGTAGGATGATCCAGGATATAGATGGTCAAGAGAAGACCATTCGGATAGTCGGCCACCTGATTATAGGTATTGTTTTTCAATTTAGCTACATAAAGTTCTGAAGTCTTTAGAATAAAAAATGGAAAGGGTCATTCCATGTCAAGTGGTCTGGAGCTCCCTGCTCGACCATCATGGATTTTGATGAAATTAGGTGTGAACATGCACACATGTCCCTAATGAACATTGGTAAAGTTTGCCGATGCAATGCTTGCAGAGATATAGTCATTTATTTGACCACATACCACAGCCTTCTATAGTATGACTCTAAGGTTTCAGCAACTTTGAGACATAATATCTCCAGCAATATTTTGTTGAGAGAAACAAAACTTGGCATCTTGTACAACTTGTGCTCTATTAAACAAAATAATAAAAACATTATCATGAGTGATCTCCATCTAGATAAATTGGAGCAAAATTGGCCGAAAATGACTGCGGTAGTTTGGTTTCTTCCTTAAGGTTCCAAAGCCTTGTGTGAGTATCTGTCTGGTTCCCAAGGCAACAATTGGGCTGCTTATCCTAGGTTCCCAAGCCTAAAGTGGGTATCTTACATGGTTCCCAAGCCGAAGTCAGTACTGTTTTGGGATATGGGTATTCCTGACTTAATGGGCTCTCGTTCAGTGACTGTTCGAACAGTGCTGAATAAATGGCAGTTATGAGCAATCCTTGAAGTTATGACCATCACAGTACTTCTGCAGTCAAATGATCACAATCTGTACACTTAACAAGTCTGGAATTAAAACCATCACACTGTCCACATGTTACATGATCACAATTTCTGTCAGTTTTTCACCAGCAAAGTCAATAAGGAAGCCTACAGGAATTCAGAAGTCATAATCACACACAGTCCTTGTTTAATGACTTGTGATGGCAAGGGCATTAATGACTTGTTTAACTATAGCAATCAGGAACTACCAGGATTGCTGTCACTAAGCAATGCAAACACTTTACAACCGCATTGCTTAGCAAAGGAAACTTTGGTCCTGCTTAGAGTCATTAAGCAGGAACTACCTATATTCTTTTTAATTTGCTATAGTGCTTATGCCTTTGATGTGATATTATTTATTATTTTATTGTGATTGATTTTGTTTTTAATGACAGTTACGCCATCTAATAACATAGGACATAGAGTGGTGTTAAAATACTACAATAAATGTAAGAGCTCATTCTGTTTTGTAAGGAGTGATGGTATAAAATTCCTCCAAGCAAGTGTGCAGGTCTGATCCATGGTTATTGAAATGTTTAATTGCAGTTATTTCTGCCCTAAGGGATCCATTCAGCCCTTTAGCTTAGCATTTCAGTTTCCAAAATCAACCTTCAACTGCCTTTTGTTGTCCTCCCCCCACCCCCCAAAATTTTTTTTTTAATCCTTAAATTTACATTAAACTTATTTTGTCCAGGATAGAAAAAAAATTTCCTGGCATGAGGGAACCTGTCTTTAAGAAGGTTCTTAACATCCAGAAAATCAATAAGCAACTCCTAAAGAAGTTAAGAGAAGAAGTAGGTGAATGTGCTATCTGAAGATGCTCAACCATTGCTTAGACAAATGGTTCCCAGAGCTCTCAAACCAGCTGGAGATCGGTATTTGTGGGCAGATTCTGTATGAACCAAACGATGAGTGATCCTTGTTCTTTCCTTGATCTGGAGAGGAGTTCCAAACAGTCTTCTCTTATTGCTGTGTTCCTCCACTTTCATGAAATGTCTAAAGCTTCCCTGGAAACCCCAGACTTTTGGTTCAGTTGATGTTGAATTATATTCTACATTTTAGTTACAATGAAGATTGCAGATTTGTAATTCTTTGGTTGTTACAGAAACCTCTTCTATTGAATTTTATATATTGGGGTCAAGTATTTGGTTATATTACTTTCAGGGTCTATCTTGCTAAATTGATGCAGTATGGTGATTGCTTTATTGCTAACTACAACCTTGGAAAAAGCTTAATGCAAATTATATTTGTTTCAAAGAGCCTCTAGTGTACACTAGAGGTGGTTTTTTATCTATTTACCTTTAATTGTGCTACTCTCTGGAGGTCATGCACTCAACAACATATACTTAAAAGACACAGAAATAAGCATTAAGTAACTTGCAATATTTATTTTTGAGACAGCTCAAAATTTGAACTTGCCTCCTACCCTGTAACACTTTCCATTATACACTTCATTTTTTTCCTGCTCGAGTGATTAAGTCATTTGGTGTTTTTTTTTTAATTTAAAAAATCCTGATTTTTATTGTATTTCTTCCTTGTCAGTTAGAGAATTGAAAACCTTCTCTAAGGAAAGATTCAGAAGAAGATTGGTCTTTACTTGGCGCTCTTGCTGAATAAATGAATGTTTTTTATTTGTTTATTGCAATGATTTTTAAAGAGATGGCATACGACGGAAACCTATATATCCACAGTATGCAAGAGATCGCTCCCCACATAAAAGGGATTCCCCTTACTTCAGAGAATCACCGATTGGCCGGAGAGAATCGCCTCACAGCAGATCTGGCTCCAGTGTCAGCAGCAGAAGTTATTCGCCTGATAGAAGCAAAGCCTACACCTTCCATCAGTCCCAGCATAGCAGAAGTATGTCATCTTTACATAAAAGAAATATTTCTCTTCAAGGTAATGTAGGATTAACTATTCAAAAAAGAAAACCCAAATCCATGAGCTGGAATGGCTATCCTTGCAAACAAAATCTACAGTATTCAAAACCGGAAAAAGTCAATCCTTTCCAAGGATTGAATTACAATTTACATGAATTGTAAATCATGTAGATTTACAAGTGAAAGAATATTTCAAATAGCTATTTTGTATAGTAATGAGCAAACAAACAAGAAAACCCTTTGATCTTAAAGGACATGGCAGATAGGAAGGAGAGGAAAAGCAAGTGGTTTCATTATTTATCTTTATTTATCTATTAATTCAGGAATATTAAAAATATAAATATCCTTTTTAAAGTAAGTGTTCTTCTAGGTTAGCATAGAAGATTTTAAAATTATGTATTACACTTCTGTAGGTGGACAATGTATTCCATTCCTTTCTCCAGAACAATATTTCTCTGAATAGAATGCCCCACAACTTACTCGTGTCAGGAACATGAGTCCCACCATACTACAAACATCCTTTCCTTTTCCTGAGAAGAACTCTGAACTTTATATGTTATTCTTCATCATGGTTATATTTAAACCTTTATAAATTCAGTCACATACCTTATATTCCATCTAAATTATTAAACAATATACCTATCATAGCTAAAACCATTGCTGTATAGTTCAAATTGAGAATTCTAACAGCTTTATTAAAAGTATTCTGTTATAATTAATGTTTAAATATATATCCCTTCTCTCCCATTTCTACCCATAAACTAAGAATCAAAATGTGGGTAAAACAGTGGACCAAACAACTACTGTGTGACTCACCAAAGCTTGTTCTAGCTTCTTGCTTTCTTTGCTTCTAGTTGCAAAGTAGAAAAAAGGCAAAAGGCTATGTATAGCCAGTGAGTGAAGGATGAAAAAGGATTAGGTGTAAGCATTCTAAAACGAGGGCAGCAATATAGAGAAGAAAAATTACTGATTGTCTTGATCTACCCATGACTTTATTTCTTTTTGCTGCTTTGGAGGAAAGCTTTTGTTTCTTTTAGTTGTTTGAAAACTGGTAAAAGTCCAAAGCAGTTCAATGAAAGGAATAACATATAAGATGAATCATGATATGCTCTGTGAGAGATATACTTGAGGAAAATATGAAGGGGAGGAACCTGGTAGTGCTAAGAGAAAATGAGAACATCATTTGTGTGGGGGTAGGGAGTGGGGGGGGAGGGGGTTCCACAAAGCAGCAAAGATTTTAAATAGAAAAACATGAGGCACACATCTAGAAAAGTGAAGATAAGAATTAGGAAAATAGTCTGCAAAGAATCCCCTTCAGCAAAAGTCTGACTCTATTGGGCAATGCTTCTTCAGTCTAGATAACAGGCGTCAAATGCGCAGTGTCACATTGCCATCATGGGATGCTTCACAAGGCTTTTTGCTGAGCTGGGGTGGGCGTACCCTGTGTGTGACACATCCATACTGTGGGCCGGCAGTTTGACACCTCTGGTCTAGATTATTGTACTCTTTTAAGTTTCAATGAAAAGGCAGAGGTTCTTCGAGCTGTTCAGTGGATGCAGTATTTAAAGTGCCAAATATATCAAGCTTCATGCTGGTCACAAAGTGAAAGAGAAACAAACCTTAATTATCAGGAAAATTCCAATTTCCTAGTAATTATACTAGGAAAATAAAAACCTTTTTATTTCTGCATCATACCACTGGTATGCATACAATAGGTTGAAAAATATTGGTCTAACCCAATGTGGTCTGGGGAATCTGGTGATCCCCAAAACCTTTCAAGAGGTCCACAAAATCAAATATTTTTAACATTTAAAATTTAAAATTTCTAATGCAGCAGATATTGATAGATATAACGCATGTAAACACATGTTCTTTCAATCACTTAAAAGATTAACCTCATTTTTAAAAATGTTAAAGAGCTTCTCAGACCAAAATGTTTTGAGAACCACTAGTCTAATCCATATTCAACGCACCCAAAGTTAGTTGTTTTGTAACATATTTTCAGTCTAACCATAGACTTAGTACTACAAGCTAAAATGTTTTTCTGCTCATATTTTTGTATTCTCTTTACATAAAGAGAGATCTTCAACTCAGAGTTTGAAGACTTCAAGAGATGTGTCTCCTTCAGGAGCTACAGCACTACCACCTGCAAAAGTAAGTTTATTATCCAAATTGTTCTAAATCTTTAGCAGTAAAAATAATTTGAATGGAGAATGTTTTTGCTACATGCTTCTCTCTTGATTCTGATTTTGTGCATATATTTTAAAGTGTTACATGAAGCTAGAGTGCAATGGAGTTTTCAGTTAGTCTCTTCTGTGTCTTGGTACATTTGTGTCCTTAGTTTATTTTGGAAAGTTTCTCTGTTTTCTGCAGAAGATTTTTTGTTGGGAGAGTTCTGCTGGAAGAATTTAAACATTCTTTATTCAGTACATAGCTTTTGCTGCAGTACTACATTTGAGTCTGCTTCAGGATTCTTAAATTGTTCACTACTAAAATGTTTCTATGTTATTGTATACAACTTCATTTACATGTTGGGATTTTTTTTCATTAGACTCTGGACAAAAGCAACAGATTATCGGAAAAGGAGCTTGCAGAGGCTGCAAGCCGATGGGCAGCTGAAAAGGCAGAGAAAGTAGAGGCAAGCAGTGTACCTGAAATTTCAGAGTATGACGTGAGTAAAAATAACACTAATAGACATTTGTACATGATCATTTATTTTATTCACTCATTTATATTCTGCCTTTCCTCCTGTAGCTCAGTTCCTTCAGTACTGGTCTTGCAATCATGTGAAATAGGTTGAACAGAAAAACAGATGAGTAATATACGTTGAATGAATGTTGTTTCCTAATTGCTAACCACACCATATTACTAAATTTGATAATTCTGTAGTTACCGTTGCACTTGTTGTGCAAGTCTGTAGTCCAGACTTGGGCATTTTATACTCTGTGGCTCACATCTGGCCTGCGGATGATCCCAGTACAGCCTGTGGGTGTGGGGTATTGGCAGTGCAGGACAGGACAGCAGGAGGGCCCTCCATAATAGTCCCAATTTCTCATGTGGCCCTTCAGAAAAATTAATTACCACCTCTGATATAGTATGAACTAATAATTTAGTTATACAGAATTTTTTATTACTTCTGTAAAACCAATATGTATTGATTACACATAGCCAGAATTTCTTCTATCCTAACTTTAAAAAAAAGAAATGCAAGTAGACATTTTCAGGGAGTGTATCATGTTGGTATGATCCACAAAATTCAAAAAATAGTTATATATTCCTAAAGATGCAATATAATTCAGTTTATGAGATTTATCAAATATTACCCTTAGTTAAAATCCTAATGAAGAAACATTAAGTAGCATTGAAATATAAAAAATACAGACTGTAACGATGTTATATGGAGTTAAAAAGTAAGAAATTAGCCATTCACTGCAACAGTAAATAGTGGTATCAGTAATTATTTAATTCTTGTACTACCTGCTGAACAAACAATCTTCTATTCCCACACAACCCAGATGGCAGATTTGAAAGTCCTAGTTTTTAATCAATTGGATAATATAATATTTTCCAGTTTAACCAACCATGCAGGTTTGTTTAATATATACAGGTAGTACTTAATTTACAATGGCAATTGGGACCACAATTTATATTGGCTAAGCATTGTCAAAATGTAATTACTTAGCAATGGCAGTCCTTGCACTTCCACATGCCATTGTTAATCAAATCTCACAATTAGGTGAGGCAACTTCCTGCCAGCTTCCCACAATCAAAATTAGTGGGGAAGCTAACAAAAAATTGCAAATGCCAGGCCACTAGGCAGGTAAGTGGCTGCTACTAAATACGGAAGGGAACAAGAGGGTGTGTGCAAGTGTAGGAAAGACCCAATGAAGGGCAAGGAGAGTGCAAAAGAGGTAATGCAGGCAATCTAAGGAGATGCACAGTTGGGAGGGATGCCAGGGGGTGCAGTGCAAGCCGGGGATAGTGCACAAAATTATGTGTGGTTGGTGTGACATGAGCGCAGAAGGGCTGGGGCAGAATGAATCAGTGGAAGATACTTACTCTAATAATCCTCAACCTTTCTTGCCAGCTTCCCCATTGACTGTTCTGGGGAAGTCCAACAGGGAAGGTTGCAAGGGATGATCACGGGGTACTGCAACCGTTTGTAAGTATAAACAAGTTTCCAAGCTCACAGATTTCAAACATGTGACCACAGACCACATAGAATTTTGGCACTTACAACTATAGGAGCAATAGTTCAAAGCTCAAATACCAACTGTGGGAAAGGTTGGGTCCAAACAGGTGGCAGAAAAGGATGTGAGGGTGATCTGGCTGCGACATCTGTCACCCCATTGATCACCAGGGTTGATTTGGCTGATCTGTCTGGCTAGGCGGACGTCCCTTTCCTTCTTCACCGCTCCATATGTGTCCCTCCCGAAGCTGCGCGCTCGGTGGAAGAGGACAACCATCCCAGATAGAAGGAATGTACCGATCTCCGGTCAAGGGTATACGATAGCTGCGCTCCTCTGCTAGAACCTCCAAACAAGCTCAAGGAGGCAGCAAAGGCAGAAAAAAGAGTGTAAAAAGAAGACAGCAAAGGCAGTGAGCCACTTCTGCTTTGGTAGCTGAGTNATAGTAATGAGCAAACAAACAAGAAAACCCTTTGATCTTAAAGGACATGGCAGATAGGAAGGAGAGGAAAAGCAAGTGGTTTCATTATTTATCTTGTCCATACATTATTTCCCAACACACATTTTGTTGGTATGTAATATTTTATTGTGAGTTCTCATTGAGATTTTTTTTATATTATATCTTTGTTTACAAAGTAAATAAGACCTGCTTTAAAAATTTATCTAATCCAGCATTTCACATTTTCTTATGCTACTCAAGCCACAGGTTTAATAATTTAAAGCTATCCCTGTAAGCATGTTGATGAGATCCAAAGAGTCCTCATCTATTTAAGCATGAAAGCATGCTAGAATCGCATAGCAAAACATAGAATAGAATTAGAATAAGAATAGAATAAATCTGGACAGGACGTTGGAGGTCTTCTAGTCCAGCCCCCTGCTCAAGCAGGAGAAACTATACCATCTCAGACAAGTGACTGTCTAGTGTCTTCTTAAAAACCTCCAGGCAAACTGTTCTACTGGTTAATTGTCCTCACTGTTAGGAAATTTCTCCTTAATTCCAGGTTGCTTCTCTTAGTTAAGTTTCCAACCATTATTTTTTGTTCTGCCCTCTGGTGCTTTGGAGAATAATTTGACACCCCCCCCCCTTCTATGTGGCAGCTTCTGAAATACTGAAATTCTGCTATCATGTCATCCCTAATTCTTTTCTTTAGACTAGCCAGCTGTTCTTCATATGATGTAATCTCCAGGCCTTTGATCATTTTTCCCAAATGCTTTCCCAAATACATTCTTCTTTATCCCTGCCATTTCTTGGTCTCCAAAACCAAGAAAATGGGGAAAGTCATCTGGATGATGAAGGAGATGATGTTGGGAAAACTGAAGAAAACAATTGATGAAAATAATTTTCCACTTAAAGGATGTTACACACATCCCTTGAGCAGTAGTTCTGTCTTTGGATATCTAGGAAGCAGTCTCTGCATAATGAACCTGTCTTGAGTTAGGAATATGATAAGAATTATGTGAACATGTTTTTATGATCTGCAGTGAAATTGTTCTTGAAATAATAGAATTTTGCAAAGCAAAGATAGAATTTTGTGACAGCTTTATTTGAATTGAGTTTGTACATAATTGCTTCACAAGTATAATTTACTTAATCTGTATTGCATAATTGTATATAATTTCAACCTAATTGGCTAAAGGTTAATTCAGGAATATTAAAAATATAAATATCCTTTTTAAAGTAAGTGTTCTTCTAGGTTAGCATAGAAGATTTTAAAATTATGTATTACACTTCT